CCAGCCAGTGGTGGCACACACCTTTAATCTCAGGATTTGGGAGACAGAGGCAGAAGGATCTCTGTTAGTTCAAGGCCACACTGGGTTACATAAGATCAGTGAAGAAACAAATCCAGGTGGTGGTGGCTCACTCCTTTAATCCCAACACTTAAAGGGAATATAAAATGGGAGGAGACAAGACTCAGGGCTCAGTCTACAGTGCCCAGTCTTGGTAGAGGTGAGACTTCTCTAGTGGCTTGGCTGTTTTGCTTTTCTGATCTTCAACTTGAATCCCAATATCTGTCTCTGTGTTTTTATAATTCGTGATACATCTGATACACAAAGTTTGGGGTACGAATTCATGAAAAAGTCTTTTGCCTGTGGCTTTACAGCCACCAGCATAGGCCAGAACTACACACTCGGCCAGAGTCACCACCCTACTGGCTGGGTTTTTCTCTCTTGTTTCCCAGTAGGCTCTCCTTGAACCCCCTTCTTGGGCTGCTGCCAAACTAGGAAGCTGCCTTGAAATCCAGGCAATAAGCCTCCCATCCTCATCAACATTGTCCACAGATTTGAGAAGACAATTGGGAATTCTTAAAAAGGAAGAATTATTTAAAACACTCCCACATTAAAAAAAAAAAATGGGAAAACCATTACATTGGGGAGATTTGAGCCTCTGTATAATAATATGCTATACAGCATGAAAATGGAACAATTAAATGAGAGAAAAACTAATTTAGATGAAATTTATGTAACGTCAACTGTAAACACTATCAGCATTATCATTCTTGTTTTATCACTAAAAATGTTGATTAATCCAAGTGCTAAGAGATAGGCCTTAGAAAAACAATAAAAACAGAACGCAGAGATATTCAAATATAGACAGAGGAATTTAGTGGAGAATCAATTTCAGAATAGCATTATGTGGTTAGAGAGGAACAGCCTAACGTTTTCAAACAACCAACCCTAATATATCCAGTAATCTCACAGGAATTGCCAGATGGAAGAGGCTCTGTTACAGCTACTGGACTCTTGTGCCAGCCACTCTTAGTTTTAAGGAGATCCAAGGAAGCAGTTGTCTCATATGGCATGCATTCACCTTCTGTGAAGCAAGTTAAAATTATGATCAGTGTGTAGTAAAATTATTCCTAAAGACTGGGTATAATTGGTTAAAACTGTTTTAGGACCTGGACCACAATTTCAAAGTAGTACCTGGTTCAGAGAAGAGGTTAAGATTATTGAACTCACAGAGATCCATCTGCCTCTGTCTCCCAAATCCTGGGATTAAAAATATGTGCCAACACTGCCTGGCTTCTAGTGATTTAGTTTTGCCCTCCGATCTTCAAGCAAGCTTTATATATTAAAACATAAATAAAATATCACTGTAAATGAGAGTCCAGCAACAAGATACCTCTATGGTATTAGATTATCCATGTGTTATGTTCTTTATGTTCAGTATCTCCTTTGTACTAGAGCTAAAACAACTAAAAAAGATTATGTGTGTGTATTGCCTGTGTGTCTGTCTGTGTGTATGTCTGTGTGTGTGTCTGTGTGTATGTCTGTGTGTATGTCTGTGTGTATGTCTGTGTGTATGTCTGTGTGTATGTCTGTGTGTATGTCTGTGTGTATGTCTGTGTGTATGTCTGTGTGTATGTCTGTGTGTATGTCTGTGTGTATGTCTGTGTGTATGTCTGTGTGTGTGTCTGTGTGTGTGTCTGTGTGTGTGTCTGTGTGTCACAGCACGTCTGTGCTTACCAGCTCCCTGGGACTGGAGGTACAGAGAGGAAGGTTGTGCCCCACACACACACGTGAGTGCTGGGAACTATGCCTGAGTCCTCTGCAAGACAAACAAATGCTCTTAAACACTGAGCCAACTCTTCATGGCCCTCTAATTATGATTTCAAAAGCTCTCCCTTGACAGGGAGATATCTCAGTGCATAAGAGTGCTTGGTGCTCTAACTGGAGGCCCTAAGTTCAGATCCCCAGATTGGTGTGACCAGGAGCATGGACAATCTAGGTTTTTTTTCACTAGCCAGTCAGAATCTAGTGGCAAAATAGCAAGCCCCAGGTCAGTGAGTGGTCATTTCCCAAGGAAATGGGGCAGAGAGATAGAGCAGGACACCTGACCTCCTTTGGCTCAGCACATGCACATACAGGCACACACAATTGTACATCCATGTATGTGTACACATGCACACACACACTCCTCCTAGGCAGCGCTGTGCTGTCACCCCCATAATGAAGCACATACTATTAATTGTTTAACTTGTTGTGACTTTAAGATTGATCTTTGAAGCCAGATATGGCTTCTTGAAGGCAGGGATGATAACCCATCACTCTAGAGGCCGAGGCAGGAAGAGCTTATGTTTGAAGCCAGCACAGGCTACGTAGGAGACCTTGTCTCAAACAATCAAAAGTCAGTTTACTTTTAACTGATTTCAAGCTTAAGGAAATGTTACAGAAACAGTTTGTCGTTCCCACATATCTTTCGCATAGCTTTGTCTAATGCTGGCGTCTTATATAAGCAAAGGAACATCATCACCATCATCATCATCACCATCATCATCATCACCATCATCAAGAACAGATCAGCCTTAGTATAGCACTATCATTTAAAGCACAGACTTTATGTGAACATTAGTGATGCTTCCACTTACCTTAGCTCTCTGCTCCAGGAGTTTTACATGGTACTCAGTTGTCCCTTCCGCCAGTCTCTTCCAGTCTGTGACAGTTTCTCCCTTTCCACTACCCCTCATGACATTTATATCTTTTTATAAGGACTCAATTCTCTTTGTGATGGGACAAGGTACCGACAGAGGTCTCATGGTGGGAAAAGCATGGCTGCACTCACAGCACCAGGGCCAGCCCTGTCTGTAGTGGAAGGGGAGGCCACTTGCTCACAGATTAGTGCTTCAGGGAAGCTGAGAGCTCAGACTGGAACAGACACCAGAGCTGACCGTCTCCTGTGGCCCTAAATTAACCATCTAGGCACCATGTCCCAAAGACTTCACAACCTTTCTGAGCCAGCATCAGCTAGAAACTAAATGTTTGTTTAAAATGAGCCTGCCGGGAGACATTCCACATTTCCCCATAGCTTCCTAGCCCTGGCCTCCACAAGTTCATGGCCATCTCACCATGTAAAATCCATTTGAATCCAGTTCCGAAATCTTTAAGGTCTTAAAACTCCAACACTGTCTAAAGGTCCAAAGTCTCTTCTGAGACTCAAAGCGATCTTTTATGATCTCTTAACTATGGTACCTTTAAATCAGAAACCAAATTACTTAATTCTAACATAAAATGGCACAGAATATGGCTGGATGTGGTGGTGCACACCTTTAATCCCAGCTCTCAGAAGGCAAAGCCAGCCTAGTCTACAAAGTGAGTTTCAGGACAGCCAGGACTATACAGAGAAATTCTATCTCACAAAACAACCTAAATAACAGCCCTCCCCAAATGCCACAGAATAAACATTCCCATTCCCAAAGGAAGGAGTAGAGAAATAGCAGAGAATCAGTCAACCAAGGACTGAAACCTAGAAGGAGGGAGTGTGGTGGGAGACACACAGGCGACATTAAATGCTGCAGCTCCATGTCCACCATCCAGGATTCCTGATGACATCATCTGGACTCCAATGGGCTCGGGCAGCCCTGGACCCTTGGTACAGGCCTCCATGAAGCTTGAACTCTTGTGCCTTGCATGTCTGAAAAACTAGTACCACGTGGACAGTGACTGACATCAAATTCTGCAGTCAGCACAAGACCTAGCCTGGCCTCCACCACACAGCGACCCTGGGCAGTGAGGACTCTTCCCTAGGAAGCTGGTTTGAATTCGGAAACCCTTGCAGGGATACTCTTTGATTAAGAATTTTCTTTCAAATGAGTTTTCACTGATATACACTAAAGCCCTTGGTGGGGAGGCCCTGGCCCTCAGCAGGCCTTTCCTGTTGTCCCAGTGCAGAGGGCAAGGTCTCTCTTCAATTGCATTCGTTTCTTTAAGTACTGTGGCTCCTTCGCCTCCGGTACCGTGTTCGCAGCTTTAATGGGGTTTGAATGTCTCTTCTGGCTGAACTTCCCAGTTTTCTGCTCTTTCTGCTTTCTCGTCATAAACCTGCTAAGCGCAGTTTAGAGAGGGAGTCCCTCAGACTCAGGCAGCGCGCGCAGATCAATCAGTGCGAAGTCTTTGGGGTTTGGGGAGTTAAAGTCAGGAACCACTCGCTGGGCCAAGGAAAGTTGTAAATAGAGATGCTTAAAGTGAAAAGCATCTCTACCCCACTATTTCTTGCCCATGAAGTGGCCACTTCCCCAAACCACAGTTCTAGCCTCAGCTACCTCCGATTCAGCAGCTGTAGCTAAGATGACCTTTCCAGAAGAAAAATCTGGTAACAGTGCAACTTTTCAGAATTACAGGCGGTAGTGGCCCCTGCCTTTTACTCCAGCACCTGAGAGGCAGAGAATCTCTGAGTTTGAGGCACATCTGGTCCACAGAGCGAGTTCCAGGACAACTAGGGCTACACAGAGAAACCCTGTTCCTAAAAACATGTGAGTGTGTGTGTGTGTGTCTGTAAGTAAAACCTAAATACCTTAACATTTCACACCAGCCTTTCCAGAAGGTCTGGGATATAAATCATCAAAACACACATACACACACATGCACACGCGCGCACACACACACACACACACACACACACACACTTACTCTTACTTGGGCAACAGTGTGCACCTCATTCTCTTATGCTGCTGTGCTTTTACACTTCTGTCCTGTGTGAGGCACAGGAAAAAAAATCTCCATGTATGTGAAGGCCTGACAGGCTGTGTGTTGTTGGCATGAGCTAGCATGTCAAGGACCCTAGCCTCAGACCCATGGAAAAACAACAAGATTCCCCCAACCCACCTTGCCAAGGTCGGGGTGAGGCTCGGAGGCCTGGTAGGGCCTTTCTCCAGGCCATGAGTGGATGTTGGTAGTGTGTGCAGAGGGCACCACCATAGATTCCCCGCCTGACTAGGGTTGTTCTTTCCTGACAGGAAAACCTCAGCGACGTTCCTGGGTAAAGTCTGGGTTGAGACAGACACACGGTGTTGATCCATCCCTCCAGTGAAGACCTGGACCACAAACAGTTGGCAGCATCAACCATAACGTCATCGGCATCTTTGTAATGGATTGGTGGCCAGTGAGAATGTGCTCCAAAGACATGACCAACCCTCCAGGTGTGACGAAACCCGCCACTGACCACCTCACCTGAATAAACCGCTGCTGTGAAGAGCAGCGATCACTGATTCTCTAGTTCCACCGTTCCTGCTACACTTATTCCTTGTTTTTAGCTGTAAAGAATATAACTCTTCCCCATTTATTTCTTTAGCTTCAAAACTTTTTTTTAAGTGTGTGTGTGTGTGTGTGTGTGTGTGTGTGTGTGTGTGTGTAAGGGGTGCCTGTAAGTGTGTCTGTGCTGCACATGCATACATGCATGACTGGTGGAGGCCAGGAGAGGGTGGTGCAGCCTCAGGGACTGATTCCAAGGCTGTGCCCTAGCCATCTCAGGTCAAGAGCAGAGAGCGGCAGGAGACCTAGAAGAGACTCGGGCGTCTCTGAGGGCAGAGGGATTGTTGAGCCCCTGCACCAGAGTGGGAGGAAAGATCACGTGGATTTGCCAGAAGAGAAACAAGACACTCGGTTAAATCTGAATTTCACACAAATGGTGAATAATTTATCCGTTGAACGGTGTCCCAAACACTGCATGCAAAACTACTTACACTAACGCTTTTTGGCTTAGCTAAAATTCAAAGTTAACTGAGCATTCTGCATTTTTAACTCGCTAAACTGGCATCTATAGGGCCAGATTGCAGAGAGAGCTGACGCATACTGAGGAATTTTCTCCATGGTTAAAATGAGCCCGTGGAGGATTTGGATACAAAGGAGGGGATCTGAGACCAGTTAGAAGACAATGACGGCTGTCCAGGCAGGAGGTTCTGAAGTATGAGGCCAAAGCAGAAGGAGAGAAAAAGGATCGGTTCTAGCAACTGGTTAAATATGATTGTTGAAACAAAACAAAAACAAGAAAAATCTATGACAGGTTTTCAGACTGGGTGGCCGAAAGAATGACAGCTGTCATGCGCAGATGTGCTCATCTCAGAGAACCCTGCTCTAAACAAAACCTTGTTTGACCTTCCTTCTCCCCAGTCTTCACACCTTTGAGACCTAGCCTCAGTTTATCCTGATCCCCAGGTTATGCCCAGGCCCTGCACGTCAAATGCATCTTAGTTCTCTCTAGAGCGGAAAGTGTGGCCTGAACTTTTTCTACACCACCACCGTGGAAACAATTCCTGATACCTTAGACAGGTATGGCTGAGCTATTCAACCCAAAAACCCTACTCTGAGCGTCTGTTCCCAAAGACCACTTCTGAGATCCACATGCTTTTAGCCTAGGATACCCCACCCCCGTTAAAAAAAAATAATCAGAGTTTAATTTACACAATAATTCAGGTTTTTTGTTCTGGTTTTGTTTTTTGCTTGTTTGTTTGTTTTTTCAAGACAGGGTTTCCCTGTATAACAACCCTATCTGTCCTGGAACTAGCCCTTGTAGACCAGGCTGGCCTCAAACTCACAAAGATCCCCCTGTCTCTTTCTCCCAAGTGCTGGGATTAAAGGCGTGTGCCACCACTGCCCAGCAATAATTCATTTTGTATGACAGTGTTTTATTGGCTATTATTTGAAAAAAGAAAACGTGAAGGGGGGGAGCAGAAAAGAAGTGGAAACCAAGGTGAAGTGGTATGTTCCCAAGAAGGCCATCACTTTACCACAGACGGAATGGGTGACTTGCTCTTCCAAGGTGCCTCGGGGAGTTCACTTGAGGTCTGTCAGTCCTCCAAGAGGCTTCCAAGGAAGCCAAAGCCTCTGAAAGTCATTTCAGCCAGTGGCCAGGAGCTTCAGCCTTCCTTCCTGGGAGCACTGACTTTGAATTTATGGTTGTAAGAGACAATACAGAGGTGTGGGTATTCACGACCGAGTAATACCTAGTCCCTGGCATTCATTAAGTACTTATTAAATATTAAGTATTAGCATTATAATAATTGTTGAGTTTTGTGGCATGACGGTTGCAAGCATGACTTGACCGGCTGGAGCACCTTGTCTAAGCCTTGGTAAACACCATTGTGCCAAAATGGAAGTCAGATATGCAGCCAATGAGATCTGACTGATTCAGCAATGTATAGGCCATGGTCAGGGCAAGCCAGCCATACAGCAAGTGGTTTCAGCATCTCCACCTGATGGTGATCCCATCCAGGTAGCATACAACCAGACAACAGTGAGTGGCTACTAACGATTCCTTACGTTATCTACCCATCTTTAAACCTTTTAAATATTTGACTGGTCTCTGAAAGCCACGAAGGACATAACTTGATATTTGTTTTGTTTTATAAATGACAGCCCTGTGGCTGAAGGATAGTTTACCCAATCACAGGGTTCCTAGATTTGCCTCTGAAACCAGGCAGAGAGGAACTCGAATGTCAAATATAAGAATAATGATATTTTCTTTGGGAAATTTGCTACATTATCCTTTGAGTTTGCCTAGCCATAAGGAAATATCGTTCACTTGATGAATAATTCAAATCCAAGTCCCGTTGCTATGGAAAGGGAGCAGCTATCTTTGCCAATTGTTTTTTATGAGGTGCTCAGCTTCACAGACATAATGTTTACCTCTCTTGAGGGAGCAACAGCTCTTGACAAGAGGAAATATGATTTCAGTAAAAAAAAAATCCCAGTTCTCTGTGCTTGTTAAAAGTTGCTTCACTATTCTGTGTTGCTTCTTGCTTCAAATACATGGGAAAGGTTCTTATACTCAAGGGTAACCTGGTGGCGGATGCAATAGATACCAACCTTGAGACGGGGACAAAGAGAATTTTGAGCCTTGGAAAAAAAACTATGTAACTTTTGCTTTTTCTAGAAACCGAGCAAAGCTGTTTGGTCTAGTGAAAATATAAGCTGTGGGGAAAATGACTCCCTGCAAATCTCCTAATGCTTGCTCTTCTGTAATGCGTGAGCATCTGCTTGTAGAAAGCCAACTTAACTGTAGCCATCTTGGCTGGAACTGCCATCTTTCCCCAGCTGACTCTTGCATACGCCCCAAACTCTATGAGACAAAGTTAAAAAGGCTGAGCCTGCTGTGCCAGCCATGATGTCAAGACTCTTTGTTTCTTATTTTGTAATGTTCTATGTATTATCGTGTATATGGTGTGTGTAAGAGAGATCACACACGTGCCACGGAATGAGAGCAGAGGCCGGAGAGCAATTCTTTTGGAGTCAGGTCTCTCCTTTCAGCTTTACATGGGTTCCAGAAATTGAACTCTTGTCGCCAGGCCTTTGAGGCAAGTGCTTTTACCCACTGAGTCATGCTGTTAGCCCCTAGACTGTTTCCTGACTGATAATAGACACACAAATAGTCTCTGAGAAAGGACAGTCACATTCCGATTGACTGGTGTATATCTTTGTCTCACTTTAACCCTCCCTTCTGATTTGGAGGACATAAGCCCTCATGTTTTGCTGTCAATCAGTACATTTATCTCTAATAAAGTGTGCTCTGTACAATCCTGGACATATCTGTTTTCATAGATTTCATCTCCTTCACCTTTGGCGGCCAGGCTCTCATCTGCTGGAATGGGCTGTTCCAAACAACTGCCATTAGCGCTGGAGCCATTGGATGACCTGGTTCCCAGTGCTCTTGGGTCACCTTCGTTGTGTAAAAGTGGATATGACTCCATCTATTCTGAACTTTAGACTTATACCTTAACCATAGCCCAGGACTTTCTGTCTATACCCCCTCAGCAGGATCCAGTCCAACCTAATCCATCCTCTCATCCTGCTCTTCAGAGTCTAACTAGAAGAGAGTTGGGTATATGCAGGGCATGAGACCAGGTACCCCTGGAGAGAAATACAATACACTTATGGTAGATGTGTGCAGAAAGTATTCACCTTCATCCACTTGGCCTATTAGGAAAAAAAAATACCTTAGACCAAGAGGATTCTAAACAATAGAAATTTATTCCTCACACTTATACTTTCTGCATACATCTACCATAAGTGTATTATATTTCTCTCCAGGGGTGAATTGTTTGAATGCTGAGAAAGGAGCAACAGCTGCTAAGAGATATTTGTTTATAAATGCTGCTGAATTAATCCAAGATAGATATTTTGAAAATACCTTGGCTTCAAAATTGAAGTCAAAAGGTATGTTACTTTGGAGAAGAGATTCTGCTTTTGTTTCCACAGAAAACGAGAGGCTCTGGATTTATTCAGAGTTAAGAAAAATCATCTTTGACCAAGGGAGGCCACCTGAGCAATCTCCGACAGGAACAGATGGCCCAGATGTCTGAGTTATACATCCAAAACAGATTCAAGACTGCTGCCTGAGATGATCAAGACTCACAGGATACTCCAGTCAGAACTTGATTATAACTCTAAATTTTCTTTAGGTCCCCATAAGATTATCAGCGCCCCCAACCAGCAGGAAGTAGCCTGAAATACTACGCCCACATTCCCAACAAATGGACTATGGGTATTTTTCTTTGTTTAAAAAAAAAAAAGAGGGAAATGGTGTGGGAGAATTGTCTGTATCTGTCAATCATATTTTAATAAAACGCTGATTGGCCAGGCAGGCAGTATAGGCGGGAAAGCCAGACAGAAAGTAGGGGTGGTGCAATGAGAACAGGAGAATTCTGGGAAGCAGGGGTTCCTCAGCCACTCCTGCGCAGATCACTGAAGAAGCAACATGTAAGCTATCACACTGAGAAAGGTACTGAGCCCATGTGGCTAACATAGATCAAAATAATGGGTTAAGATAAGTTATAAGAACTAATAAGTAGCCTGACCTAATGGGCCAATCAGTTTATAACCTTATGGAGTCCTGTGTATAATTTCTCTTTGGGATTTGCCGGCTGTTGGGGTACCGGGCGGGACGGAAACCCCAACAAGCCGGCCCTCATGTTACAGACAGAGAGGGCTGGAGAGATGGCTCGGCGGGTAAGTTGTGTAATGTACCCGCAGAGGACTTGAACTCATTTCCAGCTACCCACATGGGGTGGCACAGCTACCTGTAACTCCAGCTCCAGGTGGTCCCACACCTCTGGCTGCCTCTGGCCCCGACACACAAACACACAGACACACATGTATAATTTAAAAATAAAATAAATCCTTTATTTTAAAAAACATTTTATGTACAGGGACCATTTTTGCTGCTGTATGAAGATACTAAGGAGTTTTCAAGTTTACAAATATCTGACAACACAGAAAAGTTATCATTAGCATTCATAGGCACTTCACATAGAATTTTAGAAACATAGCTTTGCACCTCCATCTCTGCCCAAGGACACATCATAGACTATAGCACTTTTATGAAACGCTTTTGGGTTTTGGTGGTTTTGAAACTGTCTCCTCACTCTGTAACCCAGGCTGAGGCAGTCCTCCTTAGCTGTGGACTTAGTTACGAGGTTATGTGGGTGTACCACCATTCCAGATTTAAATCTAAGCATCTATGTGATTCCCTCACTGCCCCCACTCCAGGCCGAGCCAGGGATTGAACTTGGATCTTGGCTCTTACCACATTTACAATATTTCCCCCTTAGCTGCATTCCTACCATAATTTGTCGGGGAGTGGGGGGAGTGGAGCTTGGCTTATGAGGCGATTTCTTTCTGGTATGTGGCACTCCAGTGGAAAAGTGGGTGCTGATTTTTATACAGGGCCACAGGGAGCCCAGAACTTTGATTTTGTGGATTTTAGTGTGGGCCTAGTAGAATTCGAAGCATAAGTATGTGTCTGGAACACAAACCCGTTCTACAAGAACTGCCATAGAAATGTCCCTCCCCTGGCTCATACACAGACAGGGTTGCTATAGAGGTCGCAGCACTTAGCGAGACTCATGGCACTGAACTCCTTGTCTTCCCAGGGACCCGAGAAAGAAGGCGTATTGGTGCCGTTCAGCCGCGTACTGAAACGATAAAGCGAGGGAGATGCCCGTGTGTCAGACACAAACAAGGCAGCGCACTCTATCAACAAGTTCTACCAAGTAGCTGAGAACAGAACTCCAAACCTGTGAGCGGGTCTGTCGGCCACAACCAGGAAATGATAGCCACTTAAATGCATTTTCCTACACACGCTGTAGTTAATGCTAGCACAGAACCCTGTCCAGTGTCTGCCCTGTGGCCAGCTCCCGACCCCAGCCCAGTTAGAAATAGCATTTCCAAACAGCTGAGACAGAATCAATCCCTTATCAATGATCTAGAGTTGAATTTAATAAAAAAAAAAAAAAAACAAGCTGATAACCTAAGGCCACTTTTCTCTTGAGAAGGAAAAACTGCTTACATTTAATTGGTATAACTTAATTAGGCAAAGATACTTTTCTTTTAAATTTCTTTGATTTTTATTTTATTTTTTTTATTAATTTATAAAAATTTCCTCTTTCGCCCCTCCTCCCACTACCCTCCCACTCCCCCCACTCCCTCTCCTCCACCCTCTCCGGTCCTATTTGATTTTTATTTTATTCAAATTGAAATAGAATTACATCACTTCCTCCCTTTCCTCCTCCAGCCTCTCCCAGCTAAACTCCCTCAACCCACGCCCATATTCTCCTCCACTCTCAAGTGAATAGCCTCTTTTTCTTCAGTTATTATCACTACATACATATGTACACATGCATGTATAGGTGTGTGTGTGTGTAAAATATATATGTAGTTAGCTAGTGTTTTCAAATCCTGTCTATGTATGAGTGTGGGTACATGACAGGAAGCAGGTGCCTGCGGGTGTGGGTACGTGCCTGGGAACGGGTGCCTGCAGAGGACTGAAGCATGAGACCCTTCTGGAGCTGGAGTTGCAACTGATTGGAAGCTACCCAATGTGTGTGCTGGAAATAGAACTGGGGTCCTCAGCAAGAGCAGCCCGCTAACTGCTGAACCACCTCCTCTGGCCCCAGAAACATTTCTTTCAGGTTCTAGCTACGCACGATTCTTAGAATGTGGCTTTAGAAAATCCACTGAGAACATACACGCCAGGCTAAAATCTATCCAGCTTAGAAATTCCTCTTTAATAATCCGCAACACTGGCGAGTCATTTACTTTATTTCTTGACCTGTTACGCAGCTCTCATCTGAATGCCCCACAGTGAACAGATCACTCGCGGACATCGCCTCCTAAGCAGACTCCACAGCTCTGGCTTCTCCCCTGAGCGCCAGACTCCAGCTGACTTGTGAGCGACTTCATATGGTGTTCACACAGGAACCTCCGAATGGACGTATCCAGGACTGGAGGAGGCTTGGCTTCCTAAAGTTCTCCCCAGTCCCTACAGACCTCTATCAGCACACAACTTCAGCTTTGACAATGTCAAATATTCTAATTTCTCATACCTTCCTTTTACGTATCCCAAAACTAGTTCTTTTGTCTCAGTGACAGGTCTATTTCAAATTCTACACTGCAATAAATGTAAATGAGATCATCTTTATACTATCTAAACAAGGTCATCTTTAATTTTAAATTTGTCATCTCTTGGTCTTTCTTTTTATTTTTATTTTTTTGTTTGGTTGGTTTTGGTTTTTTGAGACAGGGTTTCTCTGTATAGCAACACTGGCCCTCCTGGAACTCCCTCTGTAGACCAGGCTAGCCTTGAACTCACAGAGATTCACCTGCATCTGCCTCCTGAGTGCTGGGATTAAAGGTATACACCACCATGCCTAATGGTCCATTTCTATCTAAAAAACCTTAGAGTTTACCAAGTAGGACTATTGCAAAATCATCACCTAGAAACTATCTAATTTCAGTCACAACAAATACAGTAACTTCTTAAGAGGGGCCACACTTCTTTCCCTCCCCCGACACACCACTGATAAACAGAACCTGTCACACACAGTAGGGCCACTACTGAAGATAATAAGAGAAAAGAATACAGACGGAGGCCACACTAACTTTCGTGTTTTGTCTCATATACTCCATACAGCTTCCACGGGACTGTACCCAAGACCTCTCATCTCCCAAAATCCAGAAGTTTCCTTCACGGCAAGAAAGGAGATAGGAGGAGGGAGCAGGAGCTATGGTGTTCACCTACCTCTGGAAAAGCTCTGTGCAGCACACGTAGGCCTCGTAGGTTCTGTTGGTGAAACTCGTGCTTAGGAATGAGACACAGTCAGCTTCAGCTCCCCTGGGGACATAGAGGATTCCTGAATGAAGGAGATAGGAATTACATGAAATTATGTGAAGGAGGAAGATTTGGCATAGGCTCCCCAAAGTTCCTTCCTGTTTGGTTGGGAGTTGGAAACACTGTAGCTTAGGTGTCTGTGGTATGGGTGTTTGGTTAAGTGACTATTCTGAGAGAGATGCTGTGATCTCTGCCAGAGACGGCGCTTAGGCACCTACCTGCCATGCAGGCACTGATAAAGGAAACACAAGCTCCGGTGAAGAGGGCTCTGACCACAATCTTGCACAAGTCACTCTTCCGCTGGGGCACCATCGATGCTACAGGCAACAAAAGAAAGCAATTGGATGTCTTCCCCATACAACAAGGTAGGGTAGCCCATGGGTCCCCATTCAGAAGAATGTAAGAGAAAAACAACACAACCCATCAGATGAACAGGGCCCTTATACCAACCACCTAAGGCTGACAAAGCTGCCGTAAGAAGTGTGTACATATATTAGTTATTTATCTATTTATACTTTCCTGGGTCAAGGATAGTATATCTGACCCTCCCCTCAGTGGTTCTGGAATCTACACAAGATATAGCTGAGTTAAGAAAGGCTCTGAGCTGCTCCAAGCGGGTGGATGCCTGGCATTTGCCAGTTGAGAGCTACACTCTTAAGTCTGGACTGGAATTAGATGAGCCATTGAGAGCCAGAGGACTAGAGAGGGCAGCATCCATCTTATCCTGACCTCCAGAATCACAGCTAGCAAAATCACAGTGGCTGAAGTAACCAGTGTGGACAGGCGTTTAGCGGAAGAAGGAAGATCAACCAAAAGGAAACTGTTTCATCTAATCAGCTAGCAATGAAATAAATTTAATAATTCCATCCCAGAGTGCCAGAAGTGGTGGCTTTCACACATTCTTTACATATTCTATTTCTTCTAAGACTCATTTCTAACTTGTCTCTCCCAAGTGCTTGGAATTCTAATAGATACTCCCCACTCTGGCCTCCAGGACCACTCCCTCTCTCCTGGTGTTTCTGCAGTCACAACCCAAGGTCAGCAACCTCTCCTCTCCAGCCATCGGAACTGAGTCCCCTACACTCCAGGGCGCTCAGCTTTTAGCCCGACAATGTATAATGCTCACTTGTTCTATTTATTTGGGTTTTTTTGTCTCCTTTCATTTCTTTTTTTTTTATTTTTGATTCCTATACAAATGTTGCTTTTGTGAAAAAATAAAACTACTGAGTAGCTTAATAGCAGCAAGTACCCTTGGCAGTTGGTAAGATAGAAATGTCATTTTAATAACTTCTCTCTTGTAAGTACCTTTGGCAATGGTAAGATAGAAATGTCATTTTAATAACTTCTCCCTTGTAAAGAAAATAAAAATAAACCCTTTTTGTGCCTTAGCAGGAAGGAGAAGACGGGGGCGAGGGGGAGTCAGTCTGACTGCACGAGCTCTGAGTTCCACGTGGCCTAAGAGACCGCTTGCTTGCTTTGCGTCAGCTTCTCTATCTCACCTCAGTTTTGCAGGGGGCAAAGGCTGGGATCTGTCTGGCCTACTGGGGAGGACCTGGGAGAACTTAACAACTCACTCAGGCCTCCCAGGGTGATTCCTATGGAACTAAGATTGGCGAATCCACAGAGCGAAAATGTTGCAATAATTTCAGCTTTCACCTAGGAGGAAAAAAAAAACCAAGTAGATAAATTCAGTCTTGCTGTGACTCACAACCACGGTAGAAGTTTCAGGACACACCAACTCTTTCTTGTAGGGTTCTAAAGAACCATGAAAGATGCTCAGAAAACAACGGCCCCCGAGTTACAACAGCTGCCGTGATATGGTAATACCACAAGACTCCTTGCCCGGCACTGCAGTTATTAAACATAAGGAGAAAACTACCTAGGGACCCAAGCAGATGTGAAGAAGACAATTCACAACAACTTGAATGTGCAAATAAAGGGACTTCAGAACATCTGAACGGTGTGTTCCTTGTGTAAGGAAGCACCAATCATCTAGGTCAAACTTGGGCCAGAATGCAGAGGAGAAATAACAGAGGCTCGGCACTGAGACTGCTTGTCTTGGGGTTAAGCTGGGACACTGGGAAATACCTGGGGGCCTCCAATGTCTGTGTGGAACGTGTGCTTTCCCTGAGATATGTGTGACCCAAACCTCTCTGTGACGTCTCTGGATTATCACTTACAGAAATCCACTGTTTCTCGCCGTTGATCCACTCTTCTACCCCAGAGAGACGCTTGTTCTTATACTGAGACAGTTGTTGATAGGCCACAAATTCATTTATGAAGAACTTGACTCCCACTACCTCAGCCACCAGTGGGCAGTCTGCCCAGTCCACACCCATCATGAAAACCATAGGCCGAAGGACATAGGAGCAGATGACCTGAGTGGGAGGGAAATGCCCCAGAGAAAGAAGAGCAGACAAGAGTCAGAGGTCAGGAGCCTTGCTGGGGACTTAGCCCTGCTCTCCCTACACCTCCCTCTTCTGCTCTGGCTTTCTCTTAGCTTGTGTGGGTCAGGAAGAAAAAATGGCCAACACATATAAGGCTTACCTGGAAACTGAGTCCATGTATATCCACCATTTCACCCAGCCAGGAAAGAGTTGCATTGATGAAGGCCAACACAGCCAAAAAGGCAATCAGATTGGCTGCAACGTTAGCAACAAGGCCTATGGCGTCTGTGGCTCCATTGCTCGCAGCTTCCAGGATGTTCCTCTCTTCCCTGTGGTTATTGGGCACAAAGTATATGCTACCTCAGCTCCTCAGAGAAGAGAAGCGCCATTGCCTCTGAGGTGTGAGAGATGATGCCGTCCCTTAGTGAGTCCAAGAGTGGAGATTACTCTGAAGTGACTGAGATGTTATTGCAGGACGGCCTGATGCCAAGGACATGGAGTGATTGTCTAAGGGGTTAGGGCCAGGTGGGAAGGTTAAATCGAAACAACATAGAAATGATAAGCTGACGTCAAGATAGCAAAGGGAGACACGAAATGGCATTCTTCCTTCAAGGAAACTGGAAGTCTCTGCCAGCACGGGACCTCTCCAGGCAGCACACCTTACCATCTCCCGAATCAGACACTTGCCCTGACTCACCCACGGGGCAGCTTCACTCCCTCCTTGCTCTTGAACTTGGACTCTTCCACTTCTGGATATACCAGTTTGGACAAGGCAAGCGCACAAGGGGCAGCCATCACTGAGGCAGAAATCAAGGAGGAAGCATCAATCTGTAAGGCCAGGTGGGGGATTAGCATGACCCGAGGGATCAACTGGGGTGTACCAGGAGTGATTAAGGGGACTGTGCCTCACCCCGAAGGATATGAAGGCTCCCAGGACAGTGCCTGCTATGGTAGCAAAGCCTCCGGTCATCACTGCATGGATTTCAGAGAGGGTCATGTCTGCAAGGTAGGGACGGATGAGCAGAGGTGCCTCCGTCTAAAACCAAAGAGAAACCGTCATATACCAAGAGTCACACATCCCATATCAAAGTGCTCATCCCAGGCATGGAGTGGACCCATCCGGTGCACACCCTTCCAGTCAGTGGACCAAAGCTGTGCCCTGAGGCTTCAGAGCGGCCCAACCATCTCCTTGCTGCCTGTGTTTTCACTGTTTCTAGAACATGTTATTAGACACCGGTATTCGTTTATTTTGTTTACCATGTTTAAATGCATGCAGTTACTGGGTGAATTATGGCATACAAGTGCACTTACTGACCACACACTAGATGTCTACAAAGCATGCATCAAATGAACTGAAAATAACTTATCTAAGCAATGCCTTGTGAAATAATAATATCAGGTCCCCAAGAAAGCTCATCCTGAGAATCTGAGTTCCATGTCTAGAATCCACACGGTAGAAAAAGAGAAACGATTGCTATGAGTTGTTCTCTGACCTCTGCATGAGTTCCATGGAATGTGAATGCTTACACACACACACACATACATACACACACACACACACACACACACACACACACACACATACACACACATGGTCATTAAAAAAGCATAATAAATGTCTGTAAAATTTCTATTAGTTAGGAAGATTCAACTAGGAAATTACCTAGCCTCAATCTAGGATGTCAATGAGTGACGGCCAAGGGACCTAGTCACTAAGATCATTAATGCAAAGATGATTGTAAATAATTAGAGCAAAAATCAAGGGCTGTGATAGAAGAATCAGAAGTCCTCTGAAAACATAGCAAAAGCAGATAATCAGTCTAAGGCTTTGGAAGGAAAAGACCTCAATGTTAACTTCTTGCCCATTTGAACAACAATTGTCCCTGATGTTGATTTGGTCAGTTAGTGAGCAGTTTACTGGTTATCAACAACTGATAGGCTCTTCCAGGAGACGAGACTCTAGGAATGCCTTGGGATTACCTTGATTAGATCATCCTGTGAGAAACCGTTTTAATAGGGGTCACCGATGTGGGAAGACCCACTCTAACAGTGGGTACCATTCCCTAGGCTTCTGGAGGACATTAACAAGAACGCTAGCTGAGCACACACATCATTCTCTGCCTCCTGACTAGATGCAACGTAATCAGCTGCCTCGAGTTCCGGTCACCAAGATCTTCCTAACAAGATCTGTCCTCTCAGACCGCCAGGCAGAAATAAGTCATTTCTCTCTTACTATGCTGTTTTTTTCTTCAGGATGTTTTATCACAGATATAGGGAAGGACACTTATTTCACACAAACACCACTTTTATTTCATGTTGTGGGATATTTGTACACTGTGTGAGGATGTATTTGCTGAGATTCGTCTAATAAAGAGCTGAACAGCCAATAGCTAGGCAGGAGGTATAAGGCAGAACTTCCAGGCAAGGAGAGAGGAAGAAGGAAGAATATAGGTGCGAGAGAGACGTGAGGAGACACAGAAGAAGCAGGATGTGTGGTACGTGACAAAATATATATTAATTAAAAATGGGTTAATTTAAGTGATAAGAGCCAGGTGGTGTGGTGCACACCTTTAATCCCAGCACTCTAGTGACAGAGGTAAGCAGGTGAGTTCAAGGTCACCTTAATCTACAAGAGCTAGTCCCAGGACAGCTAAGGCTGTTACACAGAGAAACGCTATCTCAAAAAAAAAAAAAAAAAAAAAAAAAAAAAAAAAAAAAAAAAAAAAAAAAAGGAAAGGGGCTGGAGAGATGAGCACTGACTGCTCTTCCAGAGGTTCTGAGTTCAATTCCCAGCAACCACATGGTGGCTCACAACCATCTGTAATTAGATCTGGTGCCCTCTTCTGGCCAGCAAGCATACATACAGACAGGACACTGTATACATAATAAATAAATAAATCTTTTAAAAAAACAGACAAACAAAACCAAAACAAACAAAAATAGCTAGTTAAAAGCAAGCCTAAGCTAAGGCCGCGCTTTCATAATTAATAATAAGTCTCTGTGTCGTTATTTGGGGCTGGTGGTACAGAGAGAGACTTGTTTAAATTCCACACAGATGGACGCACTAAGGAAGTCCTATGAAAAAGAGCCCTATTAGTCCTGATCATGACAAGCCATTGCTTCCTCAGAGACCTCTGAAAACAGGGATCTCAGGGAGTTACACCAAGAAACCAGGAAGCAGCTCAAACATCCTTCATTGCTCCTGAAGTCCCAGGATAAGTCACGGATGAAGATTTTCACTTATATTCCTGTGTAAGAAGCTGCACCAGTAACTCAGCACCTTCTAGATAGTGTGTTCAGACTGTGTATTGGGCATCAGGGCTGAAAGTACTGAACTAAGTTCTCCTTGACCCTCTAAGGTTTCTTCCATAAGGGACCAACAGCTTCACCATCTTCATTTCTTGGACTTTGCGTGTCTTTCAAGCTGTGTGGTGACTTATACTCCCAGCACCCGGGAGGTGGAGGCAGGGGGATCAGGAATTTAAGGCCATCCTCAACTACACAGTGACTATGAGGTCAGCCTGGGCTACACTGAGATTCTATTTCAGAAAAAAAGAAAGGAAGAAGGCGGGGAGTGAAGAAGGGAAACGCCTCTTTTTTCTGAATTTGTTTTCTGCCAAGTTCCCAGTTCTCGAGAGAAAAGAAAAACAGAAGGCCCCAAGGTACTCACCATTCCCACAAAGATGTTTCCTGCCACAGCCAGGGTCTCGGCAGCAGTGGTGCCCATGGTGACTTGCAGAAACCAGGCAATCTAGAAGAATCCAGACTCCTAAATCATTCATCTACAGTAGGAAGAATCTTGGCTAATGTCCAGCAAAGCCCCCCCCCATTTCCTCATAAGGAACCCGGGAGCTAGGGAAATAGTGCGGCGGGACAACAGAATGAGTTACAAACATATTAACCAGAACTCACCCTGGGACTTCTAGGCCATGCAGATCACACCCAGGATGTAAGTGCGGTCCAGACCAGTTTTTTACTATGTTCTGTCCTAGCCTTTCCCAAGCTGGGTAATCATTTGATATCAGGATGCTTAAAGGGAGGGGAACCTTTTCACATCAGTTCTGACTCCATGTTTCACGTAGGAACACTTTTCCCAAAGAAAGTCAGCATCACTCATTCCCCTGACTAGTCCAAGCTGGCAGTTCTTTCGTGGCCTTACCTTCTGAACCACCCATTGCACGAGGCCCAGGTAGTAAAGAATAGACATCACGCATCCAAAGAAAATAATGATTGGCAAAGACTGCAAAGAAAATGGTGGTAGCGGATGAGAGATTATACTACATGTGTATGCGTGTCACAAGCAAGCTCTTCTACGCCTCTCAATTAAGCTCTGGGCATTCCCAGGGCATCTGATACAAGGTGGCTTAGAAATAAACTCAAACTGAACTGCAAACCTGTAAGCCTATCTATCAGTACGAAACCATAGGCTACTTCATTTCCTGAACTTCTCCCTAACCTGCCTTTCAATCAAATGATCCCTGGTAAGGCTCATGAGAAAAGAGTGGACTCCCTTCTAAGGTCAAATTGGGAAAGAGACTATCTGACCTCGTGGACACACGTATCAGCCTCTGCTTTACCCTCACCCTTTAACTGGCATTGGCATTCCTGCACACAAACAGGTATTACCTGAAAAGCAAAAACGTTTTGGACCAGGGCATCACCGAAAACAAAACTGGAGCCTTCCACAGTATAAGCCAGGAAAATCTGAAGTGGGGGGAATAAGGGATGAGAGTTAGGACAGGCAGGACGCAGAGAATGCTGTGATCTGCCTCAGTTGTGACCCCCGTGGGCAGGTCATGTCCCAAGAGTTGGTCATGAAATGACAGACTCAGCAAGTCAGTTCTCTTCGCTTGTATCCATCACACTCTCTCTTTACCCAACCAGGTTCCCCAACACCGCCATGAAGACAGAGGCCGACAGCCTCATGCTCCCCTCAAATCTCCATTCTCTGGGTTCCAGAGGCATGAAACCCTGACATTCAATTCCCTGTACCTGGATCTGATCTCCCAGCCACTGAAATGCATTAAATCCGGGTTCAGTTCTGATGACCAAAATCCCAAAGATGAACTGAAGGCCCAGGCCCCAAAACACCGTCCTCCAGCATACCTGGGATGAGAAAGAAAATAGCCCAGCATGAGTTCCAAACCTTTACTTGTCTATTGCCTGGTTCAACTGTGTCCTGTGAGTGGAGCTAGGTGAGGGTGCTAATAGTCAGTCTGGGGTAACACGGCTGAGCTGGCTAGCTTTATGTCAACCTGACACAAACTAAAGTCATCTAAGGGGAAGGAACCTCAGCTGTGGAATTGCCTCCACAAGACTGGGCTGTAGGAAGTCTGTAGGGCATTTTCTTAAGCAGCGATTGATGCAGAAGAGCACAGTCCATTGTGGGTAGTACCATTACTGGGTAGGTGGTTCTAGGTTCTGTAAGAAAGCAAACTGAGCAAGCCATGAGGAGCAAGCCAGTAAGCAGCACCCCTCCATGGCCCATGCATCAGCTCCTGCGTCCAGATTCCTGCCTTGTTAGAGCTCCTGTCCTGACTTCCTTCAACAATGAACAGTGATGTGGAAGAGTAAGCCAATTAACCCTGTCCTCCCTGACCTGCTTTTGGTCATGGTGTTTCATCACAGCAATAGTATCCCAAGACAATGGCACAGGGAACAGGGAGACCGGTAAGAAAAAATAGGGTGACATTGTGCAAAGAGACAGTATGCCCATACAGATTTCTTTAAATAAATTACATATTTATGACACCGGTATATAATAACTCCCACAAATGTCATTATTGCACAGTGCCAAAATATGATTCTCTGTCATATTTTCTTTTCTTTCTTTCCTTCTTTATATTTTCTTTTATTTTTCTCTAGTGCTGGCTAGATCCATATAAACCACAATAACAATCGGCAGGCCTAGAGTCTCTAAAAGTGTCCCAACGTCTCTTAGGAATAAGACTGTCAGAGGAAAATTCCAGGAGTTGTTACATGGTCCTAAGTCTTCATCATGACTACCTGACACGTACCTTTGGCCATTTCTACCACCCCTTGTTGCTGTTATGCCCACCCAATAACCCCCAACTCACCGCGCTGGGGTGTTTGGAGCAGACAAAGAGGATGAGGATGAACATACAGATTCCTGCAAAGGAGATCAGCTGCTCCGGCCTGTGAGCCGTGTCGAGAGCCAGCCACAGGATAAGGCCGACCACAGAGGCTCCTATGAACACCCTGAAGGCGGAATGCCAGAGCTATGTCACCAACTCAGTGAACGAGCAACCAAAAACCCTCTGACGGATAGGAAACTTCGTCTGAGGGTCCATGAGATAACTCAATAGCTTACTCTTTTTTTTTTAAAGATTTATTTATTTATTATGTATATAACATTCCTTCCATGTGTGCCCACATGTCAGAAGAGGGCACCAGATCTCATTATAGATGGCTGTGAGCCACCATGTGGTTGCTGGGAATTGAACTCAGGACCTCTGGAAGAGCAGTCAGTGCTCTTAGCCTCTGGGCCATCTCTCCAGCCCAACAGCTTACTCTTGATTAGCAGAGATGGACCTTGAGAATTATCTGGTAGTTACTTAGCTTCTACTTGTTCCTAATTTATGGAAGTAAGTGTCTAATCTAATTAGACAGATCACATAACTTCTCTTTTCTCATATAGCCATATCAATAAAATTCAGTATAAAGGTTCATCCCTGAAGATGCTTCCAATGACTAATCAAAACACTGAAAACAGAAAAAGAGAATGCACTGGTCCCATATGATGGCTACTCAATTTTTAGCCACTCCAAGGGTGAGACTTAAATAAGCCATGTATGGATGTATGATCTTTACATATACCAAACATATTTCAGTACATAGACTGAAGGCTTGGGATGTAGCTTAGCAGAACACTTGCCTAGAATCTATAAGACTCTGGGTACAATCCCCAGCCGACCACAAAAAATAAGGATCCAGTCATGGTAGTGCAAGCCTTAGGGAGTAGAAGCAGGAGGATTCAGGTTTTAAGATTGGAATTGGAGAATTGGCTCAGCAGTCAAGAATAATTGTTCTTGCAGAGGACTCAGGTTCGATTCCCACACCCACATGGTGGCTCGCCAACCATTTGTAACCCCAGTCCCCAGGGATCTGATGTCCTCCTCGGAACACAGTGGTCACCAGGCACACATGTGGTACACATATGCATTCAGGCAAAACACTCATACACATAAAGTAAAACTGCAAGAGATTAAAGTCCTCAGCCTCACGGTTAGTGTGGCGCCAACCTGGCTTACATTACATCTTTCTCCCAAAGACAAACAAACACAGAAACAAACAAATCAACAGACGAATTTCCCCAAACCTAAGTGAAGAGAATTAGAAAGGAGATCGCAGGTGAAAAGAAACCAAAAGAAGCACATGACCCACTGAGACACCTCCAGCGCAGGGCGGCAAAGAACCACAGTACCGGACAAAAATCCACGGCTCTTTTCTACACGCCTTCCTCAAAGTGAATAAAGCTGGCTTCCAAAAGCTTATTTAATGAATAAACTCGCTTTGACTTCTCCTCCCACACACTGTCAAATAAATCAGTGATACAAAACTTCAGTGATTATCTGTTATTTCTCCAAATTATCACTATTGAACACCATTTTCTGTGCACGCACTGGAGAGAGGGAAAAGAGAAACTTTCTGGACAGTCTGGCCTACAGTCAACACACATGGACAGATTGGCGATAGCTACTTCAGAACCCAGTTCAGTTATGCTAATGATTAAGTTTGCGCCTAAGATGCTAAGACAGTGGTTCTCAACCTGGGGGTCATGACCCCTTTGGGGTCATATATAAGATATTTACATTATGACTCAGTAGTAAGATTAATAGTAGCAAGACTACAGTTACAAAGTAGCAAGGAAAATAATTTCACGGTTGGGGGTCACCACAGCATGAGGAGCTATATTAAAGGGTCACAGTGTTAGGAAGGTTGAGAACCACTGAGCTAAGAGGTTGCCAACTACAAAAGCAGGTAGGGGTCTCTGGAGGACTAGAAGGGAGGAGGCTGGAGCATAGGCAAGAGAGAAGCAACTTGGCTGTAGCTTAGCTAAGTGCAAGCGTGCGCTCTGACCCCTCCATTAAAGACAAGTGCAGGCTTTCTCCCTTTGTCACAGGCTCCTGGGATTCCAGACTGAAACTCCTCCCTGATCTGAATGAAATCCCATCTGTGCCAGCAATACTGACCCAAGGCTGTAAGAAGCCAGGCTTTGTGGCTCTAAGGCCCGTGGCTCTGTGGTTTCTATGTTTTATCTCCATGTAGATAAGAGCCTGGATCCCTCTCAAGAACTGTCAAAATGTTAAAATGTTCAATAAGATGCCGATTATGCTCAGTTGGCTTGCCTAGGATGCACAAGGCCCTGGGTTCAATCCCCAGCCCTCCATAAACTGAGTGTATGAGTGCATGCCTGTAATCCTAGCATTCAAGAGGTAGAGGCAGGAGGATCAGAAGTTCAAAGTCATCCTTGGCTACATAGAGAGTTCTGAGACCAGCTTGGACTAGAGACTTTGTCCCACAAAAAGAAAAAGAAGAGAAAGGAAGGAAGAGAGGGGAAAGGAGACAAGGAGAGGGCTCCCATCTCACCAGTGAGTTCATTCACTGATACATTCACAATTAAAAGGACTACTCGAAGGGGGTGGAAGCTGTAGGAGGTGGGGCCCAGTTGAAGGAAATTGGTCACTGGGGACATGTCCTCACAGGTTACACCTTGTCCCAGATCCCTTGCCTTCCTTATCTCTTGCCTCCTGGCCTCCACGGTGTGAGCAGCTTTGCTTCACCAGTTCACTTCTCACCACGACATTCTGCCCTATCACCAGCCAACATGGATGGGGCTAGGGGAGCATAGGTTAAGCCTCTGAAACTGGGAGCCGGAAGGGTCTCTCCTGCACATTCATTGTTCCTAGGTGTTCCGTGAAGGGCAACAAAAGGTGATTGACACACTTACCACTTCACCCAAAGCTTCAGGCGGCTGTTTTGCAAGGGCTTCAGACAGCTCATTAATTTTTCACCAAAGCTTTTCTTCAGAAAGTGGCAAGCCAGGACGAAGATGACAAGGCAGGTGAGGATGAATAATGCCAGTGCCCTCTGGAAGTTCAGGATGCAAGCCGCCAGGAAGTAGGCGGCATAAGCTACAGGGAGAAAGTGAAGAGTGAGAGCCAGCAAGGCTGAGTTTCCACAGAGCCCCGCACCGTGCCTCTCTGCTCCCGGCGAAGACTCGCTGCCTTCTATTTTACCTGCTGTCCTCACTCTCTCCCTTAGATTTGGCCAACAGCCACTGTTAGACTCTTTGGAAACCGGACATCTCTTGGGTTTTTATCCCCCAGCTATGTTGAACTGTCAAATGATTAACCTTTTCTCTTGAGCAAAGCCACGTAAAGGAGGCTGCCTCTAGGAGGAAGAGCTACATGGGGCTTCTCTAGGTGCTCCCAGCTTCATCCCCAAGGACAACTTTTGATCTCATTGTCCCAGCTGCTTCTAATCAAAGCCCCACATGTTACTGGCAACATACTATAAACAAGGTTTTATGACTTTCAAAAATAATGTATAGCGCTAATTTTAGTTATAAACCAGTAAATAAGTTATGTATAACAGGCATCTGTCATAAAGATTACAGACTTGTGCCCTGATTCAAACCTAAGCACTAAAAAAAGAGATTTTATATATATATATATATATATATATATATATATATATAACATATGTAATCTTGACACAAGTTAATGATTCTAGAAATGCTTGTGGTTCTCCCTTCCATAAATCTTCATGATCTCACCTAAACACAAGAGACCGAGCAGGATCTTCTTGGATAATGCAGCATGTCTCTTAAAGAAATGTCTCGCCTTGGTGAAAGGCTGCAGCTTCCTCCTGATGAGAAACCACATCAAAACCTGAGAATTACTTCCTCCTGTTTGTGAGGTTCTCAGACCTCGGATAGCCCAAGGCAGTATTCAACAGTGTTCCAACCAGGCCCCAAAGGCCACCTCAAAACTTGTGTCTGTACATAGGTCAGAATGGCCCCGCTCAGCCTAGAGTACATCTTCGATAGCAGTGGACACTGATCATGTGTTTTTCCTAGGGACAGGTGTTGCTCGGCTTTCATATTCAGCCTGTCCTTCTTAGAAACCATTCTACCATTGCACCCCAAAGCCACACAAAGCCTTTGTAGTTGTGTGTACGTTGGCAGAAAGGAGAGAAAGCAAACCAGCTTCAAGAGTCTCTGCGTCAGCAGGTCTGAGAGAAGATGCCCAGCAAGGGCTATTCAAGATTGCTCTGTATCGTGTTTTCCACGTGTGTGGGCTCAAAGAACTTTGCAAATACTAACAGGGTTCCTCTAAGACCCCCGAGGTTGTTCTTGCAACCTGAAAGCTGGGGAAGCTGAGTAAATTTCCCAAGGTCACGGAGGTTGTAAGGAGTAGCTCTCGAATCTCCATATCTCCCTTTGCCATTCCTAAGTGTCCTTAGCACATTGCAGCCATGTGAGCAAAAAAGATTCCACTTTCAACAAAGAAATCGAGCCCAGCTCAAAGTGTCCTGTGTGACTATGGTGCTAAGGTATGTTGCTCAGCCAGAGATGGAACCAGCCACTACCTAAATGGTCTGGGGTCATGGTGCACACAATTCTGGGTTCCTTCTCTATTGTTGCCTCTCCCATCTGACTTGAGATTGAAACTATAGTGCCCATTGCCCCTATATCCTTCCTTCTTCGTTTCTGCCTCTATCCTCTTCTCTTCTGCAGGGAGTCCAACCCTGGCTTAACTGAGCAGGGTGTACCTTCTCAAGTACATCTCAGGTACCGGGATGTCAAAGAGGGAGGCAAACTATCCTCATCAACCCTGGCTTGTCTAAGCCCATCTCCTCGGGAGGATGTTGGGGTCTCAAGACCTCTGCCACTATCCATTAGAGGAGAAAGTGGTGGGCAGGAAGTTTGTTTATGATGTCAGTATCCGAAGGTGCCGTTACCTTAGGAACATCATTTGCAAGGCCCATCAAGCAATGCCCTTAATTTTAACCCTAGACGTCCACAAGCGCCAGATCTTTGGTTTGCTCTTCCAGGTCCTCACGCCCTGCTAGGGGCCTGGAAGTTCAGTCTGTGAGGACAGAATCACTGGACAATAAACCCTTGGCTTATCTACCGGGGTTCTGCCCATGGGACCTCCTAGGCTATCTAGGTACAGAATGGCTGAGGTCCACACATAAGCAGGGAGGGACTTTGATCTGACTATCCTACCAGGTTCTCTTGCATCATACCCCTTCTGGTCTAGGGACAGACTGTGTTCACTGTTTCAAACCTCAGGTCTCGTACTCTCCTTCCCCATGGTTCTGCTCCACTTCATACCATTTTCAAATGTCCGTGTTCTTTTGTTTATTTGTTCTTATGTGTATATTTGTGGAGGCGGGGGTTGTGCACGCCGAGGCCAGAAGAGCTGGAGTCACAGGGAGCTGTGAGCCATCGGATGTGGGTGCTAGGAACTGAGCTTGGGTTCTCCGAAAGAGCAGCACACATTCTTACCCTCTGCGCATCTCTCCAGCCACTCTTTTGCTTTTCCTTAGTCTTCCCCTATCAGGATCGGGTTTCGTTATGGTATTTTCAGACATATGTGTCATTATACTTCATTTGCACATAACAGCCTCTGGATGCGTAAACTCTCTTCTGGTTATTCTAGTTTAAATACGCCACCTGGTTTCCCAGTACACAAGGTGAAGATGGCTCAAGACCACGCCCAGTTAAATAGCAGTCAAGCAAAGGCACTGTGAAATAGGATGCTCCATGCACTGGTCTAAGAGCAAACAAAAATCACAGGCTTAGGGCTTCTGCCCTCACCTCTTCACCATTTCTTGGGGACCGTTTCAGTGCCGGCTCCAGACATTGCTTAAAACCCTCTGCAAAGCCCATGAACAATGGAATCCTAGAACACCAGGTTAGAACTGAGCCTCTGGTACTAAAAAGAAAACAAACAAGCCCGTAGGTGGTGGCGTATTCCTTTAATCCCAGTACTCAGCAAGCAGAGGCAGGTGGATCTCTGTGGGTTTGAACCTAGCCTGGTCTACAGAGTGAGTTCCAGGACAGCCAGGGCGACACGGACAAACCCTGCCTCGGATAAGAAACAAATAGATGAACAAACCAATGAGGATGGACTATGAATGAGAAATGCTCCAAAGCAAACGAGAAAAGTTTTTTTTTTCAACCTTTTAAACTCATTGAGAAGTTCATAGAAGTACGTGGGCAAGTGTCTGTGCACTCTGAATCTTGCCTGGCCCCGCATCTCAGTAACAGCACCAAGCTCTTCACACTAAACAGTGGTCCAGTTTGAGTCTTAATGTCTGTGCTATGGCTAGAAATTAGGCTGATTTCTCATGGTGAGTGAGCACTGATGTTCTGCCTCTGCCTCCAAGTGTCTGTTACGGGAGACTTTCTGGGCACTGACTAAAGGCAGCCTCCTCACATGCATACTGCCCGCATCCCCAAGTGATACGTGGAAAAGAAACAGGTGAGCAGGATCAGAAGCACTAGCTAAACATGGCTTTAGTCATCACTAGATCCAGCGGCAAAGACATTCATGAATTTTCTTAGTTACCTACTTTCGAGATGTAGAAACTCTCCCAGCTGAGAGAGACGGAGCCTTGGCAACTGCTAGAACCTGGAACTCTTCGTCTAGCCATTAGTGTGGGAAGCTTGAGGGAGCTTTCAGAGAATTCACCTCCAGTGACAGAAGAGAGTGTGGCCCTGCCTGAGTCTTTGCTAGTCTGGCTTGAAGGAGGAAAGACAAGAAGGAAATGGAGGCCACAACTCACAATCAGCTGATGGTGTGAACGAAGCATGAGGCTAGCCTAACACAGGGGACCAGAGTCTTTCAAAGGACAAAGTCTTATTTTACACCCAATTAAATATCAGTTGGACAAAGCTACTACAAAACAAGAGGGGGCGTACTCTAAGAAATCAGTCCCAGACAGAAGACTTTGTCCCTGTCTTCCTAACCACAAAGCCGTTCTTGGAAGAACCACCTTCCCACTTTTCCACAGTCCAAGTTCTGCACACAACTGGTTCTGAGCTCAAGAGCTGGACGATGTAGCCACACAGGAAATTGAGTCTCCAAAACAAACAGACCTTAATAAACACTGTGGAAAGCCAAGTAGGGACTGGAAAGCCTGGGGAAAACCTGTCAGGAAAAGGCAGCATGAGGCCAGCCTGAGCGACAGAATAAGAATGTCCTGATACAGACAGACAGACTGGCTGACTGGTAAGAAAAATGTATACAGTGGGTTTTCCAACCTACCCTCAACTTTTTCCTCCCAGAACTCTCCTCTGTCCAAGTTGGAGGTAGCATTTGTTCCGATAGGCAGGGGAGCCTTCCCAGGGAAGCTGTTCTAACTCATAACTATGCCCCCATGTCAACTTCAGGGATGGGGGGTGGGGCTTGAGAATATTTCTTTTGCAAGCAAGGTTATAGGTGCTATGTGAATAATTAAGGAACAAGAGGATGAGTTGGATTTGCAGATGTTCTCTTCCCTCAACCTCCTGGGAGCTGAGATTCTATGCAGGCAGTTAAATGCATGAGAGTGAAATCTCTTGCTGGTATAATGGTGCACGTCTGTCAACCCATTCATCGGAGGCTGAGGCAGGAGGGAGAGTTCTGGTCTTACTGAGTGTGAGAATAGTCTGGGCAATATAGTAAGATCCTCTTTCTGAAAATAATTTTTTTTTCTCTTTGAGCACAGTTTAGACATGGATGTTATAAATATATTTTCTTACCTACCAAGTGAGATGGGCAGTTGGAGTACTTTTTGGTGAAGGACAAAGCAGTAAACATTTTAGTTTGTAGACTTTATATTTTATTTATGTTTTAATAAAGTGTGACTGTAGACTGAGACCCTGAGCTCTTGTCTCCTTCCGCCTTATATTCCTCTCTAGTGCTGGGATTAAAGGTGTGCACCACCACTGCCTGGCCTCTGTGGCTAACTAGTGTGGCTGTTGGGATTAAAGGTGTGTGCCACCACTGCCTGGCCTGTATGGCTGACTAGTGTGGCTAACTTTGTGCTCTGATCTTCAGGTAAGCTTTATTTATTAAAGCATAAATAATATCACTACATTTTTCTTAGAACATGTCCATGCCCATTTGTTTATTGTTACCTATGGCTTCTTTCTCACTAGAGTGGTAGAGTTGAGTAAATACAACAGAGACTATAAAGTCTACAAACTAAAATGGATCTTCCTATATTGCCCAGACTATTCTCACACTCAGGAGTTTGAGGGAAGAGAGCATTAGCTGCTCTTCCAGAGGACACAGATTTGGATCCTAATATCCACAGGTGTGGGGAATTTGGTGCCCTCTTCTGGCTGCTTTGGGCATTGCACACATGTGATGGACATACATACTGGCAGACAAGACACCCATAAACGTAAAATAAAAATTATTATTTTTTAGATGTAGAAAAGCAGATGGGTGTGGGGGCACACACCTTTAATCCCAGTACTCTGGGGGCAGAGGCATGAGGACCTCTGAGTTTGAGGCCAGCCTCGTCTACATAGTGAGTTCCAGGACAGCCAGGGATGTTACAAAGAAAACCCTCTCTCAAAATACCAAAAAAAAAAGTAGAAAAACAAAATACATTGAAATATAAACTATGTGTAAATGAATATAGATATTTTATATAAAAATTTGTAGATTAGCCAGGGTATGATGATGTAGGCCTGTAATTCTAGCACTTCAGAGGCAGAACGAGGACCAGCGAGTCAATGCCAGCCTCGGTTTCATGACTGTGAGGAGATCTGGGATACAGAGGCTCTGTTTCAAAACTAAATAAATAAATACAAAAATAAATTATATAAAGCAAATTGTGGAGATGGTAGAACATAAGGCAGTTAAAAGGCGAAGATGTCACTGAGTTAATCAATTTTTAGGAAACAAACCAACAAAAGTAATCTTTCATTCCAGAACATCTTTGAACTTACACTCCCTTCATCAACTCTCCAGGATTCTGTTCTCAGCATGCGTATCAATTCCTGGCCTTTCATACCACTGAACTTAGCTTCCATCTGAGCAATTTTACACAAACTCCCCTTTGGCTTTAGCTCTGACAGCAGGTCCATGTTCAGACTCAAACACCCTTCACCACCCCTCCCTCCCCGGCTCCTGAGCGCACAGCAAGGCGGACTGTGGCTTCACGCGTCAGGCTTCTCCCTTACCACCCACATCGCCATCTTCCTTCAGCCTCCAGAGAACAGCCTTTTGTCTCTGCTCCTATGGATTTCTTTCTCCTGTCCCTAAATCTGAGCATTCCAGAAAAGCTTTTTTGGTCACGTAGAGATGGGCTTTTTATTTTGTTCTGGACAGGGTCCCACTATGCAGCCTTAGCAGGTCTAGAAGTTTGGCCACAAACTCATAGAAATCAGTCTACCTCTGCCTCCCAAGCACTGGGACTAAAAGCATGCACCACAAGTCCTGGCCTCAGAGAGATTAATTTTGTTTTGTTTTAATTAATATGAGTAGATTTGTTCCTAAGTCTCAATGCTCTAATTTAGACAAAAGAATTAAAATTAGTACTTTCCTGTTATGAAAAGTAAACTAATTTCACAAAATTACGCATAATAATACTCAATAAATGTTAGCCATTATTACTGTTATTATTGCTGTTGTCGCTATTTTTTTTAAAGTCACCTAGGCTGACACTGATGGGCTCGTCACTGTCGTGAACTGACACTTCAGTTAGCTCTACAAAATACGAGCACATACATGTGGAAACGTGCAGTGATCCTGGTCTTGTCTGTGAGTCAGGCAGTCTGAGAATGAGTGGCGTTGATCTGTTCTGCTCACTTCTCTTCCCCATCCCCCCAGGTCCTTGGTGACTAACTAAACTGGACTCTGGAACATCCTTACCCCGGGCCATCCTTCTGGCTGTGTTCCTCCGTCACTTCAGTCTTTTTGCTTTGCTCAGGATTTCCTCTTTCCTATAAGCACAGGTAAAGGTGAGGTCAGCCGTGCAGCCTTGTCAGAGAGGCAACAGACTAAGAAAGCCGCTAAAGACACCCCACAGCCCACAATGTGAATTACCATGAGTTCCAGCCCTGAGTTCTCGATGCCATTCTCCATGGTGGCCTGGGAAACAGATCCTCTTCCCCCTGCTTTCTCCATCTCCTGCTAGCCTCAGCTGGAAAACAAACTCAGGGCTAATTTCTGGCAGATTCTTTGTTCTATCTAGTTCGGGACGAGGGAGAATTTTTAAGGCCAGATCCTTTCAGAAAACACAAGACTAACATTCTGACTAAAAGTCAGCTGCTTCCATTAAGAATAAGGACTGGAAAGATTGGGAGCTGACTAATATAATAAGTAATGAAAGGTAGAATTTGATTTCTTGTCATAAATGGTTATGGAAGAAGGGGCAAGGAGACAGAAGAGCTATTAAGGGCAGGAAGAACTGGAATGAACTGGTGAGCCTCCCGGGGTCCCAGGACCTGGGTTGAAATATAACCCATTTAGTTATTCAATTCAAGGGCTATTTAGTAATGTTCTTTATCTTTTTCCTGGAGCAGGCCCCACTGCTAAGCTGCAAGGAATGAGAAGGAAAATGACAGCTGAAGAAGCCCCATGGGCCAAGGATTTCTGGGAAAATAAGAGAGATAAACAGACTGCATCCAGTAGGGTTCTCTAAGGAACAGAACCGATAGAAGGTGTATATAGAAGAGAAGGTTTTCTAGATTAACTTACAATGTGCTGGGTGGGTCGGCACAGTCCAGTCCAGGTCCCAATCTGGTGCCTGGAGCGTCCTGCAGAGCTACTGGTCTCCAGTCCACGTGGGATGCTGGAGACGCTGGACCCTGGTGTCAGTGGAGAAGGACAGCAGTCATAGAGACCAGGACTTTCCCCAACAGGAGATGAAGGCAGGCAAGCAAACAGCACTTTTCCCCTCAGACTTCCTTCTCTTTAGGCGATTACCACCCGCAAGAGCCGCCCACTCTGGGGGAGGGGCTTCTTGGTAGTGCGCTTCTCAGTTGGGTGTAGCCCAAATTCTAATTGGTCTTAATAAATAAAACCTAAAGTCCAATAGTGGCGGGTGAAAGGTGAAGGATCAGAGAAGCCATGTAGCCAGTCACTAGAGAGACATTTTGCCCCTACCAATGTTCAGATTGAAGGGGCGATCCTGTCCTCAACCGACATCCGGGGACTGCTCTGAGCTCCTGTCTCCTCCCACCTTATACCCCTCTTTTCACCCAGCCATATCACTCCTGTCTCCACCTCTCAAGTGCTGGCATTAAAGGCGTGGGATCCTAAACGCTGGGATCACCTTTGTGTGGGCTCTGTTTCTCTTTTAGATTGGATCAATCCCACGTAGCCCAGGGTGAGCTTGAACTAACAGAGACGCCTCTGCCCCTGTTTCCTGAGTCCAGGGATTAAAGGTGTGTGCCGCCACTCCCTGGCCCTTAGCGGCTTGACTCTGCACTCTGATCTTCAGGCAAGTTTTATTTGTTAAAACACAAATAAAATATCACTACCGTTGCGTCAATCAAATCATTCCGTTAGCTGTGCATTTTCAGATGAGTACAAGGTCCTAATTCTGCCTAAAATGATATAGTTATCTCATGTACCACTGTAAATGTGCCGTTCTTCCCTCGGAATAAGTGACAAGAGGCTTTGAGGAATGCATAGTCTTTTAGTATCCTACAGCTTAACTAGGGCAATATAAATTTAATTACATTTAATTACTGATATTATCTCAGTCTTTACATTACAGGGTAAAGGAACAGAAAGGGAAAAACCCACAAATGTTTGCTTAATATATGTGCCTATATATTTAAACATATTCTTAGCAAAATTAGGAGAGAAACACTAATGGCAATAACAATCCCCATTTCTGTAGCAGGCCCCTCCCTTCCTTACCTGGGGTTTATAACTGTCTTCCACAACCCATTCCGTAGTCCCTCCACCTTCAGCCAGCACCTCAGCCAGTCTTGGCTCTTCACCTGGAGGAGAGACCCATACACTCTTGAAAGGTCTGGGTTGACAGAGTTGACTGATTGGTTCCTGCCTGGGTTGAATTGTTGAAGCTTCCCATTGACGTTAATCTCAAGGTTCGTCTCTTGCGTTTGATACACTCTCCCTTACCTCCGCGGCGGAGAAACAATCCAATTTCCCTTTGGTCTGGGTCAGTAACCCCTCCTGTCTACACTATTCCTTCTTTTCAGTCTGTTGACTGAAGGGCATCAGGAACTTGAAGTGGCTAGGGAAAGGTCTTAACTTCCAGCTCAGAGGGCACTCCCTCTTCTAGGCCAGCAGAGGGAATAAGAAGCAAACGTTTGGCTGGTAGCTCACTGGGGATGAGGGGTCCTTTCCATTTCCACGTCTCCATCCTGGACCAGTGAATCCTGAGTGACAGGAGAAACCGTGTACTGGGCACTGAATTGAGCATATTTAAACCTGTGGTAGAACCTCAGTATTCTAGGCGGCAGTGGCCAACTGTGTCTTTTCCAGGGGGAACTGGGGATAAGTTCTTACTAGCCTATACTAATTACATATAATGATGGAAGTCATTATGACATTTTCATACATGTGCATAATGAATTTCGATCGTATTCAGCCCTCTTCTCCTCTCCCGCCTCCCTCCTCTCCCACTAATACTCTTTCTCTTCCAAACTAGGCCCTCTCCTACTTCCAGGTCTCAGTTTTTCCTTCTGTGACCCAGTAAATTTCACGAGGGTTTCTTTACAGGATTATGGGAACCTTACCAGTGACTATACCTGAAGAAAGCGTGTCTCCTTTCCCTATCAACCACTAGCTGCCATAAATAAAGGTTCAGGCAAGGGTGGGACTCCTCCTTTCTCTCTCCTTCCCTAGTGTTGAGCGGACAAGCCTAATGTCATGCATATCTTGTCGACGTAATCCTCTCTGTCGTGAGTCCAAGAGTGTTTGTATGACCGTTGACTTCATGCCCAGAAGTCATCTCTCCACGTCCTCTCTGCCTCCCTTCCTCCAGCCCTTAGGTTCTTTTCCGCCCTCTTTTCTGTGACAGTCACTGAGTTCTGTACGTGGCTACATCGATGTCTCATTTATTCAAAGTACTTAGGCCGACTGTATTTCTTCACTCAACCCCTGACCTCTGAAAATCCACTGACCGAAACTGGTAACTACCGTCTTACGGACACAAACAGCTCTTTAAAGCTGCTTCTGCTTAGAATGGCAGTTTGATAGGAACTGAGCATGTCTACTGAGCAGCAGGGCTTCCCCATTGGGAAATAGAGCTTCCTAACCACAGGCTTTTGACTGTGAATTCCTTCCTGTCGGTTAACAACAAATCCTATCAGTCGGCTGTTGGCTCTCCCCTACCGCTATTGGACTAGTCAGTAGTGTTGCACACAGCGTCCACAACTAAGACCGTGGATAACAATTCCCCCTCTCCCGCCCCCCGGCCCCCTGTATTCTGTGTAGCACGTTCTGTGCTATGAGAGACAGTCAGAAAGGAAGAAATTTTTTAGCCACATTCTAGCATGATTTTTCTATGTGTTGTGGTCAAGGAATGGGGCTTCTTCATCGATCTGGTCTTACTATCTAGTACTGGTGAACAAACACCAGCCCTGGCATGTTTTGTGCCCCTCCCACGGGACTCACTGGGAAACAACCCATGGGGAGGTATCGCATCCCTGACACAGGCTTTTGTTAAATAACTCATGACTTCTGGGGTCAGCATTTTCCACCTACATAAGTTACCTCCATCCAAACTATTAAGTTTATTTTTGTTGGCTCATTAAGCGTCTGTGGTGTTTTCAAGCATCTTTATTTCTGGCTGACTCCTTTTCCCCTGTGTCCTGCCACAGCTCCTTGTGCCTCTCCACGCCCAGCGTTCCCCTTTCCGTTTTCATAGCACACACATTCCGCTTCCACTGGAGGCACCTTTCCCCCCTTTGCATGGAATCATTTCTAGTTTTCTGGGATTTACACAATTACTTCCACATAAATGCACACACACACACACACACACACACACACACAAAGGCTTCTTCGGAGACCATTTATGTTTTGAATCTGTGTCCAGGGTATGACACTGCTTCTTCTATAGCCAGGATTCAAAGATCCAGGGATCAAGATGTGGAAATGGGAGCGGTACATCTCATCATTTTCCCCAGTGGGCCATCAGCCAGATTTTGTTTCTTATTCCTGGGAGCTTATGCTCTGCTGGCCTAGAAGTCTTAGCTCCAAAAGGGGACATGTTTCTCCCAGGAGGAACACTAGACACCCAGTGAACTGAAGGTGAAGACTCCTTGCTAGCCACTTGGGGTTCCTGATGGTCTTGAGTCAGTGGGCTAAGAGAGTAACAGCAGTGTTAGGAGGAGCCATTGGCCCAGAAGGATAAAGGGTAATTGGATTCCTTCTCCACAGTGGAGGCAAGGAAGATGATGTCTGTAGTGCAGAAGGGCCTTCAGCAGGTCTGTGATTAAAGTCAGTGGGAAGCTACAACCCAGTAAGACAGGATGATAAATGGCCCAGATCTTTGAAACCTTAAGGTATAGATCACTCCTCCAGGTAAAAAGCCACAACTGGCTAGGTTATGGTTGCAGTGCTTGCTGAGGACGGAGGGGCTATGGAATGATGGCAGAGAGGGTAGTTACACACACCAGCTGACCACGTGGCTACTTTCAGAAATGATTGGAATTTTCATGTGTGCTTCTGTCCTAATTAAAAGGGCATGTTTGTGCATCTGTACACTTATATTTGTATTTCTTTCCTCTATTTCTTTTCTGTTTAGATTTTATCACATTGTATTCATTCTTGCCTGTGTGTGTGTGTGTGTGTCTGTCTGTCTGTCTGTCTGTCTGTTTGTCTCTGTGTGTGTCCACGTATCACAGAGCACAAGTTGAGGCCAGAAGACAACCTGAAGGAATTCCATGTGGGTCCTAGTGTTTGAAATCAGGTCATCTATCTTGGTGGCAAGTGCCTTTACCCACTAAATCATTTTTTTCCAGCTCTCCTCTATTTATCACTTAAAGAAATTACCTTATTTTAAAATTCCTACTTATGTGTATTTGTGTGTGTGTGTGTGTGTGTGTGTGTGTGTGTGTGTGTGTGTGTGTTGGATCCGCTGAAGCTGTGGGTGTTACAGGTGATTGTGGATGTGGGTGCTGAGGACAGAACCCAGCTCCTCTTCAAGAGCAGCAAATGCTCTTACCCGCTGAGCTATCTCTACAACCCCCTATTTCTTTACCATTTAGTGCAACATTGAGATAATATCAGTGGTTAAGTGTTGCAAATGCATAGTATCATACCCAGGGTGTGGTGCACTAAGAGACCAAATGTTCCCTAAGTGAGTTTGTCACTTGTTGGAGAGGAGAAGAAATGATGTGCTTGTAGTTCTATGAGGGACAGTAATATTATGGTAGGCAGAATCGTGGTGTTGTCACTGTTTTCATTTGGAAATCAGTCACGACACAAAGACATGTGACTGGGTATCAAGTTAACAAGGGGTGGGCGTCTAACGGTTAATCTTGGTTCTCAACTTGACTGGATCTGGAATCAACAATTTTTAAAGGCAGGAAGCTAGGCACACCTGTGAGGGACTTTCTCAACCAGATTATTTACAGTGGGAAGACCTGGCATTTAATGTAGGCAGCGCCTTCCAGCAACACCCTAGATATAAGAAAGAGGAAGAGGGCTGGAGAGATGATTTGGTGGTCAAGAGCACTGGCTGTCTTCCAGAGGACCCAGGATCTCTTCCCAGCAACCACATGATATCTCACACCATCTGTAATTCCAGTTCCCCGAAATATGACATCCTCTGGCTTTTGTGGGCACGAGTCATATGCAAACTCTTTAGTGAGTTTTACTTCCAGATTGTGATTAGATATTTTTCTTGTTTGTTGGAGAAGGTTTGCATGATCTAAAGATTATATTGATGGGAGTCCTTGGTTGATAGGTCCCAGAGTTACTCTTATGATTCACTCCTCAAG